CAATACTGGGTCAGTCGGAAGACGGAATCTCACGCCTCTTGCAGGAGGCATGGCACTCGCAGGCAGATTTAATGAAAAGGCATATCGATCTTCCTGAAGCCTATCTCGCGTTGCGCGAAAAAATCGATAGCAGAGCTGAAGGTCAGTTTCGGTAGATTTGAGTTTAATACACAGTGAGCTCAATGGCCTCGAGTTAGAGTCCGAAACGTCGGCCAAATAAAATACTGGTCCCAGAGAACGTCTTTCCGCCTTCAATTCACTTACCTGAGCCTCGCATATTTTCGACTATTCACAGTACTAGGTACGCTAATAATAGACTTCAACTATTGCACCCTTGCTGTTATGTTCTTTCTTGGGGATCCAAAGAAGGCATAAGTAGGCAGTGGCAGCTCACTTTACAATAAAAGTTGCCTGTATAAAACGGCACACGGTAAGGCATTACCCTCGGTGATTTGCAGATTCTGATAGATGGGAATTTGCTTCGGAATCTTCTGAATGCCAATTTCGGTTTGGCCACTGGCGTTGGAGCAGGAGGCGTAGTAGAAACGATTTAGTTGCAGCAGAAGCACGGGTGGTATGTGGTCCAGGCAGACACGACGCGACATTACAACACAGTCACCCTTGTCGGGATCCCGAAAATCGGACAGAGTTTCACCTCTGGAGAGCAGGGAGAAGCAGTCCTCAATTCTTCGCACCTACAAGGAAAACAAGGAAGAAAGTCAGCAATGCTTGATTGCATCAGGCCTAGCAACTAAATTTGGTGTGATCACCTTAGCGATTTCTAATCATCATCACCATCCCTTAGGTGAAAAACGTATCAGAGGCAACTGCAAGAATCCTGAAACCATTCGGGATCGGTGTGGCTCGTAAGCCGCAGTCAACCATCAGACAGCAGATCATGAGGCCCAAAGACCCGTAACCATTGACAGAACAATCAGCCGTGGTCTACAGCACACCATGCCAAAACCGTGATGCAAGGTGTTGTAACGGAAGCCCAGGCCGAGAAATCACCGCCCAATAACGCCTTGTGT